GTATCCCATTAACATCCCTGATAAAACATAATCATGAGCATTGTTCTGTGAGGTTTGTTTGACTATCAGGGGTTTCAGACCCACGGTTCAGTAAGATTGGTGTTGGAATTAGTAGAAGTAGGTCCAGGAGTGTGGGGTCATGTCTGAGCTCACAGGGAATTGGTTTTGTGCTGTGGGTGCTCTTGATGGGGACACGTCTCCCTTGTGGAGTTAGTAGAGGTCAGACCCAGCTGTCGTCATGCTCCCTTCTCTTTTTACACTGAATCTTTCTCCTGAGAAGTTGCTGGTGGATTCAAACCACAGGAGACTCGAGATCTCTGGACTAGCAGTGTAAATCGCCTTGGACAAAAATCTCAATTTCTTCTTTGGCTTTCTTGGTTGGTGTGTTAATTAGAATTAATTTCTAAATATATTAGAGATATTGTTGTTGTTGTTATGTGCCGTCGAGTCACCTGAGCCTTATTAAAATGCCTTCCTTGTATGCAAATGGATACTAGCCTATTACCAACAGCACTGTACTTCAGGACAGCTCTCATTCTTTTTGACAATGAACACAACATACTTCCTCTTCAATTTGCCATTCAAAGTCGACTATATGATTGTCTGATTCAAAATGGCTAAAGCTAGTCCCTTTCACCTCACTTGTTCTTAAGAGATATGTATGTATGTATGTATGTATATTTTTTTGTGTGTGTACCGTCAAATCAGATCTGACTGGTACAGGAGATTGTCCCTCCTTCCCTGGCAGAGCATCTGGTGGATTCGAACCGTGAGCCTCTGGGATTGTAGTTGCAGTTCCTTGCCACTAGGCCACCAGAGCTCCCCAAGAGATATTTATTTTTATGGTTTCCATTTCATTTTTTTACAACTTGCAACTTTTCTAGATTCATGCTTCTTATATTCTGTACCCTGATTATTAATGGATGGGGTTTTGTGTGTGTGTGTTTTACACAGTCATTTATTTACATTGCGTTAATGGATGTTTGTAACGGTTTCTTCTGTTGAGCCATGCCATGCCAGCAAATTAATATCATTCATTGGCTGAACGCATCATTTCATGCATACCTTTGAGATAGACTCTGCTCGGAGGAGGTAGCTCTGCTCCAGACAAACTTGGAGTGCCTGCCAACCTGATGGTTCACCTTGTGACACTGTATGAGAACATGGGTGCTGCTGTTCCTCTGTTTGTCACTGGCCAGTTTGTAAGTGAACGGCCAGTCCTACTCCCTGGCTGTTTCAGCTTGGAAGCTCTGCTAAAACCTATCCACCATTGGTGTCCCTTCTGATATTTGAAATTCCAGTACCATAGCTTCTAGCATCATAGCAACATGCAATTCACCATAGCTAGGACAAACTGACAGATGAGAAAATGCTTAAAAGGCTCGTAATAAACACAGGCATCTTGTTTTTATGTGATTTCAAGTTGGAACTGACCCATACCTGACCCTCCAGCGGGTTTTCAAAGGTAGTAAATCACATGAGAGTGCCCATCCTTCTCCAGAGGAGCAGCTGGTGGATTTGAACTGCCTGCCTTTGGGATTGCAGAGCAGCTTCTTACCACTAAGCCACCAGAGCTCCCAAAGGTATGCTACATTTTATTGTGTTTCATTTTCTTGCATATTACAGATGCTTTGACTTTTTGGTTTTTTTCTATGAATTTTTTTTCTGAAATTTTATTATTATTTGTGTGTGTACCATCAAATCAGATCTGACTGGTACTGGAGGAGATTGTCCCCCTTCTCCAGCAGAGTATCTGGTGAATTCGAACTGCGACTTTTTGTTTTTTACAGATTGAAGATTTGTGGATACCTTGTGTCACACAGTGGGGAAAGAGTTGCACTGTTAGCCCAAAGGTAGGTGGTTTGAATCCACCAGCTGCTCTGAGGGAGAAAGATCTTTCCATGCAATTTATACCCACTGAAATCCTTCTGGAGGGTCATTTCCAACTTGAAGGCAACAGGTGTTTTGAGTTTTGTGTCTAACAAGTCCACCAGCACCATTTTCCTGATAGCAGGTGCTCGCTTTATGTCTCCATGGTACATTTTGGTAATTCTCACACTATTTCAAACTTTTTCTTAATGCTGTTTCAAACCTAACAGACTACAACACAGCATAAATATGACTTTTTTTAAAAAATAAAGTTTTTATTTTATACTGGTTTACTTACAAAGTTCGTGTACATTGCTTTTCACACTGGATCTTTCTCATTTCCTGTGCCCACCCTCCCTCCACCCATTAAGTTGTGAGACCCTATGATTAACTTCCCCCCATCCTCACCCATCTGCTCCTTCCTCCCCTCCTTGGATCCTCATACACATTCTACAATAATGGTCTTATACAGTATTTAAGTATAACTTTTATATATAGTGGGAAATAGAAAAGTTCTTTGACTTGCTTTATTGCAATATTTCTTTTTTTTTTTTTTATAATGACCCTATGCACAGTAACTCCGAACCCTGCTCTCTCCTGAACCAATCTCACTGTCTCTGATATGCCTACCCTCATTACCCCAGTTACTATGTAAACCCATCTCATCTGGGGTCTTCGTCTCCTGCACTATTCCTTGACCGTTCCAAGCATCATCCTTTTCCAAAGACTGGTCCCTTCTGGCTACATGCCCAGAGTATGTGAGATGGAGTTTCAAAGTCCTTGCCTCCAAGGAGCAGCTTGGTTTCACCCTCTCCAGGACAGACACATTAGTTCTCTTGGCAATCCACAGTATATTTAATACTCTTATCCAGCACCACAACTCAAAGGTATCACGTCTTCTTCTGTCATCCTTGGTCATCGTAAAGCTCTCTAATGTATGGCAAGTAATTGTGAAGTCCATGGCCTGGATCAGACACACCTTAGTCTCTAGACTGACATCCTTTCTCTTCAGTACTCTGAAAAGGTCCCTGACAACAAGTTTTCCTAATTCAGTTCATCTCTTTGTTTTTAATACAAAATTTTTATTTTATACTTGTTTACTTACAAAGTTCATATACATTGTTTTTTACACCAGATCTTTCTCCTTTCCTTTATCTCTAATGCGATTCATCTTTTGATTTCCTGACTGCTGGTACCAAGTGTGTTGATTGTGGAATTGAGCAAGCTGAAATTCTTAACAATTTAAATCTCTTCTCCATCTATCGTGATACTGCCAGTTGGCCTAGTGGTGAGAATTTTTGTTTTCCTGATGTTGAGCTTGAATCCATACTGCAAACTACAGTCCTTGACCTTCTGCAGCAAATCTTTCAGGCTGTCGATGAGTCTCTCCAATTCTGATGCCATTCTTCCTCATAAAGTCCAGCCTTTCAAATGATCTGTTTTGCACACAGATTCAAAAGGTAACAACAACAGCAACGGCATTACAATATTTGCTTTACTGTGGTAATCTGAAACCACGCTAAAGTTTGTATGGTATGCACAGAACTCATTCACAGGTATAGACAGTGCATCATGCTCCACAGGATTACTAATGAGAGGTCAGGCAAGGTCTTAGGCCTCGATAATCTCGTAAATGATATATGTTGTTGTTGTTATGTGCCATCGAGTCGTTTGCAACTCATAGTGACCCTATGTACAAGAGTTCTAAATGCTGTTCTATCCTGTGCCAACCTAGCCATCTCAAACGCACTTATTCCCACCACTCCAGTCACAGAATCGATCCATCTCACCAAAGGTCTTCCTCTCCTTCGCCTCCCCTCCACTCTGCCAAACATGATGTCCCTCTCCAAGGACCAGTCCCTCCTTGCAACATGCCCAAAATATGTCAGACGAAGCTTCAGAATCCTTGACTCCAGGGAACACTCTGGCTTCACCCTCTCCAGGACAAACCTGTTTGTTCTCCTAGCAGTCCATGGTATATTCAACACTCTTCTCCAGCACCACAGCTCAAAGGCATCAATCATCTTTCTATCAACCCTATTCACTGTCCAACTCTCTGATGCATAGCACATAACTGTGAAGACTATAGCCCGGATCAGGAGCACCTTAGTCTCCAGCCTGACATCGTTGCTTTTCAGTACTCTTGAGAGGTCCCTCACAGCTGACATAGAATTTTAAAAGATTATTGTTTATGCACTGCCTCTATTCATCTAATAAGACATAAAAAACCTAGGGAGGTAAGGACTGTGTTGTTTTGTTCACCAGTTTCCCCAAGGCCTTGAGCATCCTTAAGTGAATCTAATTAAAGGCTTGAACTATGAAGTAGTAGGTGACTATGTGCTATGAAGAGTAACAATGACAGGTATCCAGGGAAGAGCATGTGGCTTGGTGTGGGTATAAAGTCCACATTTAAAGCTGTAATAGAAAACCCAAAGACTGAGCATTTTCTAACCTAGGTGAGACTTGAGATAAAGGAGGGAGCAGTACATGAATCACCTCAGAAACCTGCAGGAGGGTCAGCTATGAGTTGCTTCCAACTTAACGGCAATTAGAAAAAGTGAGAGAAATGCTCTTCAGTCCTATGCTCACAAGAACTTTTTTAACGATTCTTATACCAGCTGTGTCTCCCATGGTACTGTACTGCTCTGAGAGTAAAATGGTTTGGGGAAGGAAGCATTGTAGAGTATCAGGAACTTCCTGAGTCTCAGAAGACTGGATTTGAATTCCGATTCAGTCACCTGTGGCCTTGAGGAATTCTGAAGCTCAGTATTTTCAACTATAAAATGGGAGAAATAGTGTTATTTTACACACTTGGCATGAGGGCAAGAGCTAATGGACATCAGGCAGGGCACTTCCCCTATCTACCAGCATAGGGATAAAGTTGCTCTGTGAAGAATAGGGTTGCAGGACAGAAGAGACAGATTCCGAGAAAATTCCAGGCACCGGGAGTCCTCAGGACCTGCCCACAGGTATTCTTTTATCTTTGTCCTCAGCACATACGTGCCCAGTTCCCATTCAGGAGCTAATTGGTTTTAAAGTCTCTTTCTTATCTTTCCCTCTGGCAGGCAATAGCTGTTCTGGTAGCAGTACCTCCTCACACAGAAGCAGTGACTACGGAGAGAGGCCTCACCATGGCCTATTCACAGCTCCTCACCAAAGTCAGAGGTTTGTTCCGGATCCACAGCCTACTGGTCCGACAATGCCTGGCTGAGTTTCTGGGCGTGTTTGTGCTCATAGTATGTGGGGTAACTGGGGGAGGGAAATGTGGGAGATGGGTAAAATTTTTGGCCCTTCTTGGCAAACTTATCTCTTCCTCTGGAAGTTCTGCGTCTTTACTATCTACATCCCTTTTTTCCTTCCCTTCATTTTGTTCCTCCCGGTCATTCTTTATTCCTCTCCTGCATCCTTTTTCCCTTTCTCAATCTTGTCTCTTGCCAGCTGTCACCTTCCTTTCCTTCTTACACTTCTTCTTCTGACTACCTCATCTCTTCACCCTTCCTTCTTTCTGCTTTTTGAGGTCTTCCTTACTGATCTCTCATATTGGTTCACCTCTCGTGGCATCTCTTTTAACCTTTCCAACCTCTCTTCATCATCATCCATCTGTGTGCCCTGCTCTGCTTCTTCCTCCCCCACCAGATCATCACTCAAGGGGCTGTGGCCCAGGCTGTCACCAGTGGAGAAACCAAAGGCAACTTCTTCACCATGTTTTTGGCCGGAGCTCTGGCTGTTGTCATAGCCATCTATGTGGGTGGCAATGTCTCAGGTGAGCAAGGTGGGGCCTGCTCAGCAGAGGGGGTGGGATGTGCACATGAGCATGGTGTTTTGTGACTCACGGACATTATCTCTTTGAGCTTGACCAGTGCCCTGGACTGAGATATGCCTTTGGCCACCTCTAGCTCCTCCCCGTTTGTATTTCTCCATTCTCCTTTGTGAAAATTACATGGTAGAGGCATCTGACCTCCTCTAACTTCAGGAGGGGTACAATCAGCAGCAGGAGCAACAGCCCCAGGCTGATTCCTATGATGTAAAGATCAGGCATGGACTGACTCCTCCCTCTAACCTTATTTTACTAATTCTGACACTGATTGTGTCACCAACGCACTGGACTTCTCTTTTGAGTTCAGTAGTTCCTTGCAAAGACCACACAGAACCCAGACAATAATCTCAATCAAGGGGCTTCCTAGGTAAGTAAAAGGATCAGGACTGAATCAGGAAACAGTTATTTGGCCAATTCAGTCTCTTCTCAGCTGTGTCTATGGGCCTAGCCTTTGCTCTGCTCAAGCAAGTGTCGGAAAGCTCTTTTAGCTCCACCAATAAGTGCCCAGAGATGTTCCACTCCGACGGTAATCCTCAGCCATAATGCACCCAGCTCTCTTCATGTCCCATGGTCTTCTGGTCTCCTGGTTCTGGTGTCTCTGCTGCTGCTGCTTCTCACCATCTACCACTCTACCTCCTTGTCCTGGGGCTAGGAAGTTCTCAGAGCAGGGATCTGACGTCTAAAGTACGCATTCTACTTCTGTCTCTTAGTAGGCAGGCTCCTGCTTTCTGCCACTAGAAAGGCTCTTTTAAGCATAGTGGGACGGTAAAACTGACCAATCGCCTCATTAGGCTTCCATATACCTACCTTATTTGTATGGTCTAAGTCCATGCAATTAATATTATTAGCAAGTTATCTAATCCCTTTGGTAGTCTACAAATATCTGATTTGCAAAATCCCACCCAGTCATTTGGTGGAAATTGCAAAGCTCTGGTGCCCTTGTGGAAAGAAGCTGCAATCCCAAAGGCACTCAGCCACAGCTGCTCCGTGAGAGAATGATGGACAGTCTCTTCCTGTGCAATTAACTGCCTCTGAAACCCTCCTGGAGGATCAGCTATGAGTTGATTCCCACTCAATGGTACACAACAACAACAGACTAAGATGAGGCTAAAGAAACCCTCTGCCATTGAGTCAACTCTGTAGGACAGAGTAGAACCATTCATAGAGTTTTCAAGACTATACTATATTTCTTTTTTAAAATTAATTTTAATGAAAGATTACAGATACTTTGGATTTCCATTCATTCATTGTTGCACTTTTCTCCCTGCCCACCCTTCCCCCTCAATTCACTCTTTTCTTTGAAAAGTAAAATTCTTTCATTGTTATTCAATCCTTTCGCCCAACTCCACTGTGCAGCCTTCATTCTGGACTCCTGTCATGACAATAATACCTAATTATATATCCCTTTTAAACAGTCCTCTTCCTCATCTGTTTCAATGCAGTATCCATTATTTATCCCCCTTTTTTTCAGTCTTTCCTCAACCCCAATGTTAGTTCCATTTTACAACAGTGGCACGATGCAATATTTTTTTTGTGACTGAAATATTTCACTCAGCATAATATCCTCCAGGGTCACCCATTTTGTATAATATTTCATGAGTTCCTTGTTTTTCAATGCAGTATAGTAGTCCATTGTGTGAATATACCAGAACTTCTCTATCCATTCATTTGTTGATGGGCACTTGAGTTGTTTCCAACTCTTTGCTATTGTGAACAAAGCTGCAATAAACATGGGTGTGCATATGCAGTTATGGTTTCTTTGGGGTATATTCCCAGTAGTGTAATTTCTGGGTCAAATGGTATTTCTTTTTGTAACTTTTGAAAAAAAGTTTATTTTATTATTTGTCTCTGTGTGTGTGTGTGTGTGTGTGTGTGTGTGTACCGTCAAATCAGATCTGACTGGTACAGGAGGAGATTGCCCCTCCTTCTCCAGCAGAGCATCTGGTGGATTCAAACTGTGTGCCTCTGGGATTCCAGTGCAGCTTCTTGCCAGTAGGCCACCAGAGCTTCCTTCTATCTGTAACTTTTGAGAAAGTGCCATACAGCCTTCCACAGTAGTTGCTCCATTTTTCACTCCCACCAACAGTGAATAAGGGTTCCAGTTTCTCCACAATCTCGCCAGCATTTGTTGCTTGCTGTTCTGTTAAATTTTGCTATTCTTACTGGGGTGAGATGATATCTCGTAGTTGTTTTGATTTGCATCTCTCTTAGAGCTAGGGATTTTGAACATTTCTTCATTAAGGCTATAAATCTTTAAGGAAGTAGATTGTCTTATCTTTCTTTCATAGAGCAGCTAGAGTGCTTAAACTACTGACTTTTTTGCTTGCAGCAGAATTTGTTAGCCACTAGCAGGCCATATTAAGTAATCCCCTAGAAAACAAATCTGTTTTGGAGAGGGTGGAACCAAGTTTCTCCTTGGACTGCTAGAATTTTGAAGCTCTGTCTCACATACTTTGGGCATGTGGCCAGGAGGAATTGATCCTAGGAGAAGGACATCATTCTCGGAAGAGTGAAGGGACAGCACAGGAGAGAAAGACCCCGGATTAGATGGATTGACCCAGTAACTGGGGCAATGGGGGTTGGGGTGTTGGAGTCAGTGAGACTGGCTCAGGACTTCAGAGGTGGCATGCATAGTGTCGCTATGAGTCACAGGTGACTCGACAGCACATAACAACAATACCAACTAGAAAATATATAGTAAGCAATTCACTGTACCGCACCCTTCCCTACCTAGACAGAAATCTATGGCAAGGGCATTGAGGATGAGTGCTAGCCGCTTACCTCATCTCTGCATCAGAGTGCCTGGGTGGAGCACAGTAGAGGAAAGAGCAGACAGACCCAGATTCAAATCTTGATTTCGCAGTGTGACTTGTATGAGGTACGCACTCCACTCCCATCTCTTCTTAATACTCCAGCTCCTGCTTCCTGCCACTGGACAGCTTTTCAGGCCTAGTGGAATGGAAAAACTGACCAAACCCCTCCATTAGGGTTCCTTACATCTTAATGATCTGACCACACGCATCTAAATTTGTATGTCAGGAATAATAATATCTACTTTAAGAATGTGAGGAAGAATAGTAGAGTTATCTGGTGACAGCCCTTGAGAGTGAGAAGTTGATGTGCGCTGGTTTTTGTTTCTTGATCCTGAAAGGGGCCCACCTGAATCCAGCCTTCTCTCTCGCCATGTGCCTCTTGGGACGCCTCCCCTGGATCAAGTTGCCCATTTACTCCCTGGTACAGCTGCTGTCTGCCTTCTGTGCTTCAGGAGCCACCTATGCCCTCTACTATGGTAACAGAGGGAATGGAGTTAGGGGTGCTCAGTGTTGATAGGGATACTTGAAAACAGTTTTGGGTAAGCCAAGATGGTAACCCTGGGTGTCCCTCTCTGCAGATGCCCTACAGAACTATACAGGTGGGAACCTGACTGTGACTGGCCCCAAGGAGACAGCCTCCATCTTTGCCACCTACCCTGCCCCCTATCTGTCCCTGAACAATGGTTTCCTGGATCAGGTAGGAGTGAGAGAAAAGAGCTGAGAGAGCATCTCAACCTTTGTCCCTGTCCCCTAGGACACCAGCTTATTTTTCAGGCTCTGGGTGGGCTGTGGAGTTGGTTCTATCTTGATCTCCTCTACCAGTCCAGCTGTCAGTGTTTACCAGGCCAGATGACTTGGGGGTAGGGCTGCTCTGCAATGCTTGACTGAGAGAGGGCAGACAGAAGAACGCCTAGCAGCTAACCTATCTGCTCTTCTATTAACTCCAAGGTTCTAGGCACTGGGATTCTGATCGTGGGGATCCTGGCCATCCTGGACACACAGAACAAGGGAGTACCTGCAGGTCTGGAGCCTGTGGTGGTAGGGCTGCTGATCCTGGCCATTGGTCTGTCCATGGGTGTCAACTGTGGGTTCCCACTCAATCCTGCCAGGGACCTGGGCCCACGACTTTTCACTTATGTGGCTGGCTGGGGCCCGGAAGTCTTCAGGTAGGTCTCTGCTTGTCCTGGTGCTGTTACTTCACACACTGTACTCATTTAAGGGTTCTGCCCTGGGTACCCAGCTCTCTCTTCTTATAAAGTTATTTTGGCCTCTTAGGACAGTGTGGCTCTTCCAAGTTCCAGGCTCTCCCTTCCCTTCCCTTTCAAGTAAACAGAAGTAAGATTTAAAGATTGTGTCCTTGGACATATCATATTACCTGTTTGGGCATTAGATACTTCACTTGGTAAATGCATGTGTTCTGGTATTTCCAGAAAATCAGAACTGGAAGGCTGACACACTTTTTCTTAAGGGTTCTTCCCATCAAAGTGTTAGGATTCAGTCCCCAAACATATTCCCCTAGGGGTCCTGAGCCCAAGAGCTACTTACTGTAGGGAGTTCTCGTTACTGTAGGTGGCCTCGGTGGGGAAAGGCTGGAAGAGTTCTCTCTGACCTCTCCTTTTCATCTTTCTTTTGCAGTGCTGGTAATGGCTGGTGGTGGGTGCCTGTGCTGGCCCCCATGGTAGGGGCTGCGCTGGGCACAGCCACCTACCAGCTGGTGATAGCAGTGCACCACACGGAGGAGTCAGAGCCAGCTCAGAATCTGGAGTTAGCGCGACACAAAAGCTCCGACTGGGAAACTCATGCTCAGATACCGGAGTGCAAGCTTTGATCGTGACAACTCTCTTCTCTCTCATGGACACTGGACTGGGCCATCAACCTAGAGACATCTGGTGACAAGACTTTCTATCTTTAGTCATACCGCAGTCAGTCCCTGGGAAGGTGCCTGAGCTGCTCTTTCACCCATCTAGGCATCTCTTTCTTCTAAACTGGGAAGGATGCCTGGACAGGTGAGAATTGAAGGAGGGTTTTCTGGGTTTGAAAATCCCTGAGACCCAGGCTTTCCACTCCCTCCTCAATGGGGTTTTCCGAACCTGGAGGCCTCCAGGCAGGCAGTTCCCCTAAGTAGCCACCAGAGGGCGGGCAGCCTGGATGTTAGGTCGGGAGAACATGCAAGGTGGAGGGGTCTCCACCATCCAGCAGGAGTCGGAGTGGGATAAAGGGCGCAACTGCGGAAACTTCCTATAAAGCTCAGTTCACCCAGCCTGACTTCTACCTCTTGTAACCAAGCCCGTCTTCAGTTCCACTGGAAGACCTCCCTAAACTTAGCCACTCCCCCGACCCCCGTCCACGCCATGCAGGGGTCGAGGTGGGGGGAATGGCCTCCGCCAAGGGGGCGTGGTAGGAGTTCCGGGCCGGCTGCGGGGTGCAGTCCTTCCAGCGCTGGAGATCGATCGAACAAGGCAGAGCAACTGAGGCATAACGCGCTACTTAAGCCATTCGGAGACGGCGTCTTTCAAGGACAGGTTGAAATGAGATGAAGCCGGGAGAGAAATGAAGAAGGAACGGAGTGCAGGGCCAGACAGGAGTGTTTCGATGACCGGAAAGGCGCTGGGAACACTTCTCGTTGTCCTCTGCTTCCCCAGGCCTTACGACTTCACGCAGGAGATCCTCTTTTTGCAGAGAAGCAGAATTTTCCAGTTTCCTTTCTTCCAAACCAAGACAAGAAAAATTAAAAAATCTCAGCCTTGTGGCCTCCCGTATCGTATTTTTCGATCCAGGATGGATGTGGGGTGGGTGGGGCTAAGCAGCGGAAGGTTAAGACCCTCCCCCCTGCCCCGCACAAAGATGGCGGCCGCGCCGGCCCTACCCCCACCCTCCCCAAAACCCCCTCCCGCCCCCCGCCGCCTCCTCCGTCACTTCCGCCCCGCCGTGGCCGAAACTGACACAAAGTAGCGGGCCGAGTCCCGGGGGGAAGCGGGGCCGCAGCTGGGGGGGGCGGGAGCCCGCGGGG